CCCCCCCCCCCCCCCCCCCCCCGGGGATGTCTTTGCAACAGCCCAGGATAAATCTGCCAAACAAATTGTCAAACAAAATTTTGGTAAATCAGTAAACAATCAAACACCTGCCGACAATGCCACCAAAATTGATCAATATTCCCAGTCATCAATACAGGTGATATAGGAAAATGAGGAGCATACTCATTATTAGATTCTATACACCTAAGTATTTATTATTGAAGATCTGGAAATTGTTTAGTTTTCGTTCTATGAACAAGTTCTTATTTTTGAAGTATATACATCTTCATCGAATTTTAGAAACGGTCACAAGTTCTAGTTTCATACAAAATTTGATAGAGAGAGTGTTCAACAATTTTTTATCCTAATAAGTATATTTGTGTGCAACCAGTATGTTTGACCACATACTCTATTAGCTAAACCCTTAATAAAGTGGTTCTTCAGACTGCGAGAATGATCATTGTAATAAAAATCTAATGTTTTTCTATAAGTAAACGATTTTTATGTTTACTTTCTACACTTTCTTTGCCTTTGATCAATGAGCGACGTAATTTGAACCCATACAACAGCTAATTTTAAGAAATAGAATTTATATCTAACAAATTTAGTGAAAAAGAATAGAATGACAATAGAACTAGAGAACTTTAGCATTCTGTTGCGCAAAAACTGCATTTTGACGTGTTTTCAAAGAAAATGTTTGCCTTTGAGCATCGTTTACATAAAACAAACTGGGAATGTATTCATTTACACAGGGTTTATGTCGAAAAAAAGTGTTTCAAAAGGGAAGTATTAAATAAGGATTGAAAACGCAAGGAAATACTATCATGTTATAAGTATTTGAACAGCCTTTTTCTTAGTTAGTCTCCATACTGTAATTGAACTTTTCCTGGTGTCATCAAAAACACCTGCCTTAGAAAACAGGTTAGAGTTTGATCAAAAGTCAGATGATGTATTGAAGGAATTTCGAGAATATATTTTAGAAAGATAACGAATGGTCAATAAGTATTTATTGGTAAAAACTAAAATGACTTAGTCTTGATGATATTTCCATTTCTGTTAGTAAAATGTAAAATTATTTTTGTACCAATGGGTCATATTTGCATTTGAGTTATTGTTACAAATAGTTTTATTTGATTCGATGATAGAAGTGAAACCAAAATGAAACTATTTATCCTTTTTCTTTTATCTATATTCATCTTTTAAATTAATTCAGGCAACTGGCTTATGGTCAGATGGAGTGAATTTTCAGGATACTCATCATCGAACGTCGTACAGAAATAAAAAGAAATGGTAAATAGTTGTTTTGCATTTTTTTCTTATTAAGTTTTAAAAATGTTTCATTTAGCTATTTTAAATACATTCATTGCCAATATTCACCTATCTGTTTATTTCTGTCTCTACTTGCTCTTCTACTTTTTGGCGCGGGCATTTCTGCAATGCTTGTCGCATTGATCGGCATCCCTAAAACGACAATAACAACAACAACAGTGAGGACAACAACAACCTCAACGACGACAACAACAACTACTACTGGTAAGTAGTAGGCTAAATAGTTAAGTATTGTTTCCTGTAACGGTTTAATGAATATATTTTCAATTCTTGAAAAGTGTTGAACTTCCCATGTACTAAGATCGTTGAGATACGTCAACTTTGCACTACAAATATCTCGAAAAATGGAGAAACATCATGTCAGAAAACAAAGCCCATTCGATCATGCGCAACGAAGAGAAAAAGAAGTGGCTGCAGTTCCTCGATCTTTTCCCCTCATTTTCGATGGTCTATAGCTTTTTAGTTCAAAGAACCATTTTGATTGAATGCATGTTGCTTTTTTTTATCAGGGAATTAGGCATATTTTGGGCTGATAAAATAGATTAGTCTTTAGTTAGTAAATCAAGTTTCTCTTGAAAAATATTGATAAATAAAGTTGTAGAATTTATGCAGTCAGCGCTATTCTTTGATAAATCTATATGCTCTCTAGATAAGTTTTCAACTAGTGTCTGAAACTCAAGATGATCTTACTTGAAGGCAGTTAGAACTCCGATAGAACTCTGAAGATTGGATTAAATCGAATGGGTTCGTAGGATTGACTACAATACTCGTTTTTTTTTTGACTTATTTAGTCGACGACTAGCACTTTTCAGGTGTTTTTTCTTGAATTATGTTCTATTTCATATGATTTATGAGATAATTTGAATAAGATTAGAAAATATTTTACTATAACCTTGAATTCCAGTTCCGGCAGTTTTCTCGAGATCCTGGCTCGGTACTGATTCTGGTGGTCGGAACTGAAATCAGAATCAGAACTGGTCGAACATATCTCTAATCATGCTGTGGTTTTGCATTTTGTAGTACAAGATATTAGTATAACAATAATAAATTAATTTATGATACACGAAAAACTTTACTTGAAAACTAAGAGAGTTAAGAACATCATATAGTCTCGGAGTCCAGTTCCGCACATCTTTATTCGCATCTTATTGAACATAATAAAAAATGTTTGAAGGACTTTTTTATTTTCTATATATGTAGGCATAGGTAAATGATGTAATCTCAATTTTTTTGGTAAAAGATGCGCCGTCAAAACAAGAGGAAAGAGTGGGACTTCGGGAGTGCATACTTCCCTGTACTTCACTCGTATTTCACCGTGCATTAGTTCCTGTATAGGATGATCCCTATAACTTTTCAAGAGATATCGATAGCTGCTGTTAGGTTGGACCATTTTTAAAGTGAGTCAACTAAAACAAATCTTTAGTGGCTTCACTTAGCCGTTGGTATTAATAAAGAAAGATCAACAACCTCCTGTTAATTTGTTAATATTAAGTGCTAATGAATCACTTAATACTTGGTATTAGGTTAGGCTTTTCTCTTTGGCACTTCACTTCAAATTGAGCGAGTCAGTGATTAGCATGAGGTAAATACCATTTCATTTTGGTATGTTCCTTATGCAGAGGCTATGTTTAAAAAGAAAACGCTTTTGCATACAGTTTTATCAAAGGCTTCGGCCCCAGAAATCCGTTTTGGCATGGCATGCCTTCAGCCAATCCGATTTTAGTATCCTTTTGTACTTGTTGGGTAAGGAATAGGCTTGTTGAATTCTGATAGCCATTGCTGAAATATGCCTTGCTAAATGAATGCTATGAGAAAAAGGATTCCTTAACGCCGGGGAGCTTCAGTCAAACTTTGGAAATAGTTATTTCCGAAAAATAGGCATTTTATAAGGAAAATTCTGGCATAGTATTAAATTGAAAAACTTAACCTTACCGCTAATGAGGAAAGATCAGCAGATGTTATGCTCCGTTTCGTATGGGCTATCTGCCATTTTATACAGCTCGGTGAGTAGAACATCTGATATAAAGGGTTCATCCCTATACTAAACTTTTAAGGAACAATGAAGTATCGTGTTGTTTGAAATATTATTATGGGACTCTTAGCTGAAAGCTTGAGTTTTAAGAGTATTATGATTTCAACTCATTTAGATTTTTCAATTGAATAAATCATACTTGAATATACATATCCATATGTTACACTTAAACACAAAATTTAAGTATATCTTTACTAGGAATATTTTAAATATAATCAATTCGGTAACTATGGAATAATCAGTTATTGCATCTAAAATTATTTTAAAGGCTATTCGAGAATACTTCTGTTTTTTGTATAAAACTAACACTAAAGCATTATTATTTTTGTATTTCAGTCTATGAGAGCCTACCTAATTGCTTTCTTACAAATTTTTAAAATAGCGAGGAAAAACTCAGCTGTTAAATCTATGCAAGAAGCGTTCTCGAATAGTCCTTAAAATAATTTTAGACACAACAAGACAAACAATCCGACAGTTGAATCCCATCGGATCCGATGGAAATCCTGGTTGCGTATCCACTAACAGATCCATAATGTTGGAATTCGATCGGATCCTGAAGAAACTGGTCGAAATTCGATGAGATTCTACAATAAGTGATGCATCAGTTGTCAATTAAGCACCTCATTTTTATCCGGTTGACGATTTTCTTGAATTTGGTCAAAAACTCAAAATGGTACAAATATCGAAAAGTAAGTGTGCCGATAATCACAGGTTATGAAAGTAAAAATCTCCACTACTCTCACATTCTCACATGCGTCCTTATCTTTGTTTTCGACCAAATTCAAGTTTACCCGTACACCCCGTATTTTGTCAGATAATAAATTGTCATAACAATTTTCAAATCACTTGATTTTGTGCTGAGAAGAAATATAACTTTTTTTTCAATTGAAACAGGTGTTTGCGGTCACGCTTATTACATTGAATCATTAATGAATCACTTGGTGATTGATCTTTTAGGTGGCTCAACTACAGTAGGCACTCAGCTTGTTACTAATTATATTAATAATGGAAGCGGTGTAATTCCATACACTCAATTGTGGTTTTTCGATCCAAATGGAACTGTTCGAAACGCAGCTGCTGGATTGGTGATTCAAATCAGTGGCGGTATTGCTGGAACAAATCTCGTTCTAGGGACAAATATCGTGGCACAAAATCAAATATGGTTATTTAGTGGCGTAACGATGTCTTGTCCAGCTGCAAGCAAAGTTATGGATATCACAGGAAGCAATGCATCTCCTAATACATATGTTGTTGCTTGGTCTTCGACTGGTGGTACTAATCAAAAATGGACCACAATCCCATATACATGTTGAAATTCAAAAAATGAACAAAAAAACATTTCTAAACACTGCAGCGTTCATCACCGGATACGCACTTTTGTCAGAAACTTGCAAGCATAACTCAAGTGAATCTAGAGCACTGATTCTCTAGTTTCATAATTTACTTGATTTGTTGACAAATCCGATTAGATGACGAAACAGTTGCGTGTCTCGTATGAACTACAACATATTTCGACTCTCTGTAAGGAACTCTGTCACATATTGAGCTTCAGATTGAAAATCGGAAGCACCGATGAATTTCTAGTTTTCTAATACATGAGTAATGAAGAAAGATAACAGCACAATAGCATTTCAGAAACAAGAAAGAATAGATGAAGAGATCAACCAAGTAACCCATAGAGGTGGGGTGTGGGTGTGGGTATGGATGTGGGTGTGGGTATGGGTGTGGGTGTGCGTATGGATGTGGGTGTGCGGGGTGTGAGTGTGTGTATTGTCTTCACACGCAGTGTGGGTGCGAATATGGAAGATTTTCTGGCTCATACCCACATCCACACCCACACCTACGCACAGTCACACCCACCCACATCCACACTCTCAAGATTGTTAACCAGTAGACTAAACTCTGAAGCTACAAGTTTTTCTTGAACTATATGATGTCGTTTAGCACTTCCTGTAAAATAGTTATACAGTTCTTGTAAAAGATAGAATAGTGAAATAAATTCTGTACTACAGTCACAAGTATTCTTAACGCCTAAGTTAGAAGAATGTGCCCCACAAGGTATGAAAATTACTTCTCGTTGTAATTTGTCATTAACACAGGCTTGAACACATTTGTTTCCACCAGCCATGTCGTTACAGTTGTCATAACATTGAGCAATCAATTTATTCGGTGAAATATTCAGCCGTTCCATTATAGAAAAAAAATATGTTGCAAATATCTAAACCAATTTTACTTGACAACTCGACCGTCGAAATTAGTCTTTTTTCGACATTGAAATTGTTTGCAAATCGAACAACAATCGTATAAATTTCTCCATTAGATACAACAGGTGTACTATCTATCATTACCGAATAGAATAAAGAGTTATTCAGGGTGTGGGTGTGGGTGTGAGGTGTGGGTGGGTGTGGGCGCGAGTGGATGTGGGTATGGGTGTGGGTATGGGTGTGGGTATGGGTGTGGGTGGATGTGGGTGTGGGGTGGTTGTGGGTGTGGGTGTGTGGGTGTGGGTGTGGATGTGGGTGTGGGGTGTGGATGGGTGTGGGGTGTGGGTCTTCTCTTCACTCACACCACACCCACATCCCAGATCCCACACCCCACATTCCACACCCACGCCCCACATCGACACCCACACCCACACCCACATCCACACACCCACACTCACACCCACACCCACACCCACACACCCACACCCACACCCACCACACATCCACACCCACCCACACCCACCCACACCCACACCCACACCCACACCCACACCCACCCACACTCACACTCACACTCACACCCCACACCCACACCCTAGGTCATTCAATGGGAATAGTTGATTCTATTAAAACACACTTTGGCCGTTTCATTCAATTATCAGCTAATGATTGCTTGGAATATCATAATGCTTTACGTACTACACCTCATTCACACGTTACAATCAGTTTAGGTAAATTTCTCTTCTACCTATAAAACAATATTGATTATTCTTTTTAAAGGCTTTATCAATGACGTTTGCTCAATTATTTGTTACACCCCTTGATACAGTAAGTGAAACTTTATCACAATCTTTTGCTGGTACTATGCGTTATGTACCTATAATTTTATCTATTGTTATTATTCATATTCAAGTATATCATTATATGAAGTACATTTACCTTTTATGATGGGTTCTCTTTGACCATCTCTACATGTTGCTATTACAACAAGTAACACGAACCAAACGTTGCTAAGTCCTATACTGAACAGAGAATAATATTATAGAAATAAAATAAAATAATCAATTGCAAAGTTTTGAATTTCATCGATTTATCTTTATTTAACATTTATCTATATTTTCATGGTACTAACATTTTTAGATATAATTAATCCTTTGGCTACTGTCATTAGATATAAATGCGTAAAATAGACTGGTTGTAAAAAAAAACAAACGATGATGCGGAAGGCTACTTCTGCTCGAAGTTTGCATTTAAGCAGACGTATCTACCAATCGGGCAGTATAAGTGATTGCATAAGTTTTCACAATTATACAGCTCATCATGTATATATTCGTTGTTGGTAACCAAAGGATTAATCCTAATATATTAATAGTAATAGAAACAATGTCCTATTATGTTGCATGGTGTGAGCATGGGTGTACGTGTGAGTATCAGAGAAGTCGGGGTATGGATAGGATGTGGGTCATCTCATCACCCAAATCCACGTTCACATCTTCGTTGTGAACTTTCACTTTGTATTTGTCATTTATTTTTTAGATTTTAATGAGGGTAATTTGAGATTGATTGTATACCAGTGTTACTTGAACGAAGATTGTTATTTACATCAATAGATCAGAACATTGTACGTAGGATGTAAAGAAGTTTTTTGTTTTTGTAGTCACATCAGAATATTTGATAATCGCAATAGATATAGATGATCAATTACTTCAAGAACAGCATCTTACATGTTTGCAAGCATTGATGAAATTACTTATACCATTATCATGGACAATGAATGATACTTGCTATCTGAATGATTAATCAATTTTTTGTTAAATTGTACAATATCAATTTATTTTCAATGAATTGATACAACAAACGATTGTCACATTCATCAAAGATTATTGGATCGAGAAACCATGCATCATGTATCAATAAAAATTCAGTCGAACGACAAAGGGTCTCCTTTCAATTCTATGAACACGAATGCCGATGTTCTATTGAAAATCAAATCTTCAATGATCGTTCATTCTCAGATCAGTGCAGCCTATCTCAAGTTTTTCTTCGTCGGTCATTTCTTTGACACTGCTGATGCATTGTATAGTTCGGTGAATGAGATACACTACGGTTTCATCGATAATTTCAAAGAATCATCTGAAATTGTTCATGATTGATCGATGAGCGCAAACATTGGCTATATGACTTCATTGATCGGTGCTATTGGCCATCGAGAAGAGGCCGATGACAATATTCACTCGGTACAATCGACACAACATTTGAAATCATTTTTCTCTTGACTTTCCTTGCTCGATGTCCATTAAAATCGATTGAGAGATTTCGAACAATTGAATGTAGAAATTTCGCAGTTTTAAGATGCATTTGATGGTGCAGATCAAACATGAGCGTGGATCTAACTAAAATGTAAAACCACACTCACACTTTCAATCAGGTCTGCACGATCACCTAGCATGCCTTTCATTGTTTGCCTAAGTCTGCGAAGTAACAGAGGTTGTCGGTAGGTATTAGCATTTGAACCATAGAATAACACACACCCACTTGCACAACCAGACCTACGCCCTAGTCTTTCTGGCTATATATTGAAAATTCGAAAGAAAATGTTGCCCAGGTCGTTATGTTTCGGAATCTAAGGGAATATCTCTTAAACAGCACGGTTTTAATTTGACTGTGATCAGATTTCTGTTTTATTATCTCAAAATCAAATTTTTCTCATGCTCTAAAAACGTTTAACCACAATAGTTGATTATTACTAGCGTCAAGCAATGTCATTCAAATCGATTATAATCTGATAATACAAAAGGCGATATTTTTTTATGATTTTGCCGTGAGATCCGTAGTTTTTTCGTAAGATGAATAAAGATTGTGGATCCTCAAACTGCACAGTATTTCTTTTATACCTACTTCGTAAAGGTCTCGAAAATGTTTGAGAACGATTAATCAGACGTATTGTCGCTGTGTCACTCTACCTATGTACCAATTTTACATTAGCTCCATAGTTGTAAAGAATAATTACTCCGCACCTGCAGCGATCTACATTAATGTAGCTCGCTGCAGGGGAGGAGTAATTACTCTTTGCCACTATGGATCTAATGTAAAATCAGTACGTTGGTAAAGGAATGTATCGACAATACGTCTGATTAATCGTTCTCAAACATTTTCGAGACCTTTACGAAGTAGGTATAAAAGAAATACTGTGCAGTTGAAGGATTCATCATTTTTATTCACTGTGTGAAGTATGTTTCACAGGTTTTCTTTTTATTTTCAACCAACGCGATGTCACTGTTGAAAGCAATTTGCAAGAAGGAGTTGTCCTTGTCGGAAATTGCCATGAATATTTGGTCATGTCAGTTTCCTACTTTAGAGCAGGAATAAAATTATTGGAAGGTAAAATCAATTTGCTGTTGAGTATCCCTGCCATTCGAGGATCGAACGGAAACTTTTCGATCAGGCAGAGTTTCGCAACAGTGGCTACAGATCAGAAGGAGAACATATTTAGACTATGAGTGGAAATTAGAAATCAGAATTCGGAAAGAAGCGATGAGCAGTAGATTGAAACAAGAGTTATGTAGACAAACACAAAATAGGTGAACACCATCTAGAAACTCGAAGATAAGAAGTAGCAATTCTTCAACTAGTGGTTCGAAATTGATGTCTTGTTACTTCCAAAATGCCTAAGTTACTGCCTTATTCATTTCGTGGAGCGACATGACAATGCTAATTACAAGAATAACCCTATTATCCACTTCATGTTTGCTTACCTTGATTATATCATTAAAGTCTTGTTACAAATCGAGTTCTGTTTTCTAATCCCAATATCTCTTTATGGTCTGCGATAATCTGAATTCGCAATTCTATTCTTCTGATTGCATGAAAGCAAATAGAACACGAGATGAAGGTTAATGGGAACTAAGCCTTCTCTGTCTCTGACGTTTCTACGGACGATATTTCTCATGTCTCAGATATTGGTGCATACATCTTCCTCAAGCCCCAACCATAAATCTCAGGTTTGTCGACGTCACACACCTCCTTACTTTTAGTATTGAGTTACGTCTCTGCCTGATTGATCTACATTTTAGGCGTCTTTCAATGAATAACTACTTTAAGCTGTCGTT